TCAGCTTTTATGCGCTGGTGCGTGAAATTTTTAACTGTTTTCCAATGTTTGAACTATTTTTGCATACACTAAAGTGCAAAGCAGTGAAAATCAGTAATAGGCAATCGTTCGATGGGTTGAATTGCACAAAACGCATGATCGCACCAGCTAGTCTTGTGCTCGTTGCTATTTATTTATTTTTTTCCGGAAATCTTCCCTGCCAACACACGAATTTACCAAATGGCGCAGGTTTCGGCAGCAACGGTGCGAAAAACTGGTCGAACGATAGCGACAAAAGCATTGATTATCCAGGAATATAAGCGTCGATTACGGGACAATATCCGATCGTTGAATGATAATTTCGTCCATATCATCTCTGCTGCAAAGGTATCTGAAAATCCCCGGATTCGTTCAGAGTTCGGTTCTCAGGCTATGCAGCTGGCAACTTTTTCAATTGCTTTGACCGTAATGCACCGTCTGATCGCCAGCCGGCGATGCTGAGACGTGCGAAGTGGCTATTTCGCTTACTAGACAAGCTGCGAGGCTGAAACTTTCCAGGACATCCTGTACTCACATGTAGTCTTAAAACAGTTTAAAACAGTTTAGTTGAAATTGTCTGACATGATTCTAAAACGATTTTCAGTTTTATCGCGAACTCAAAAGCGAACTCATCCCCTAAAACAAAAATCACAGACGCAGCAGTTATCTTGAGGGAAATCCGAGATTTCATTGGTGTACGTTGAGCATTAACAACACCTCGAGCCAAAATCTTTATCATTTTTAACTAAATTTTAATTTTAGTTGGTATGTATTTATGTAAGATTTAAGGAAATAATGAAAGGAAATGTGAATAAATTAAAATTAAAATCTGAATGGGAATGTTTCGGTCCGTCAATCTCGTCATAACGTACTTTGTATTGAAAATGATGAGGTTTCCCCCTTCTGTTTCTTCCTGTCGTCTTTCTCTTTTCTTTTTCTTTTCCATTAAGCACTGATAACCTCGTCGTAACGTACTTTATATTGGCCATGAAGAGGTTTTCCCTTCTGTTTCTTCCTGTTGTCTTTCTGTTTTCTTTTTCTTTTCCATTAAACACTGCAACTGTCATAACGCGGTGTTGAGTTAAAACGTATATGACTTAATGGACCGAAACGTCTTGCCTCACTCTTACTCTAATTCTCTTTGCTGTAATCTATCGCGCCTTCGCCATTTATTCTTAATTTAAAATCTCTGGATTATTACAATTGGTTAAGAGATTTTTGAGCGATATATTTTATACTGGCACGCATGGTACTGAGGTTTTTGTTACCATCCCTCGTCTACCAAAATAACCCTGACATTCCTGTTTGGAATGACCATTTCTTGGTCGGACTTCCATGGCCCCTTCTTCCCTTTCTGTTCCAGGATCAACCCTAGTTGCTACAATCAAAATGTATACGACTTAATGGACCGAAACATTTCCTACTATTAAATTAATTCTTATATAATTTACAAATTTTAATAATTCTCATCTCCTACCTTTTTTACTCTTCATCGTCTTCTTTCATCCGTTGTTAATACACCGTATTTTTTTTTTTATTATTGACCATAACAAAGTCCTATGAGGTATCTTACACTGATTAATGCAGATCATAACAGATTACCTTATGCTGACCAGTGATGAGGTGCCTTATACTGACCATTGATAAACTTGTAATACTGACCACAATGAGATACCATATTCTAATTGCTGCTTGATTGTTTTTTTTTTTTGAATATTTTTATTTATTCATTTTTCATATTTTTCATTTTTTTCATTTTTTATTTTTTATTTTTCTCATTTTTCATATTTTTATTTATTCATTTTTTTTTCATATTTTTTAATTTTTCATATATTTTTTTAAATATTTTCATTTTTCCTGTTTCAGATTAATATGGATGATGCAGCGCACAAGAATCCGTTTGGTCGAATGACCGAATACTATACGTTGAAAAATGAAATTTCAGTACGTGCTTCACTTATGGTATGTTTTTTTTCCCCTTTTTTTCCGGGGGAAGGGGGGGAGGGGAAGGGAGGGAGGAAAGGGTGAGAAGGGAGGGGATTATACTCGGCTTCTTAGCACAGTGATGTCACAAAATATTCCGTTGTTTTATTTTGTTTTATTCTCACATTTCTTCTTGTCATTGACGTACCTGGTGGCTTCCCACTCTCTCATTCACATAATTCAATATAAGCGGATTCTTCCACCAACTATCAGTTTTGGTTTTTTCTGGCATTACTTGGGTGCCATTTGATAGCCAACTTTATTCGTGTTTTTTCCCACTGCTGCCTCGATCAGCATTGTTTTTGCTTAATAAAGTCGCTAAATTCGCTGAATATGCAATAGAATTGTAATTTATCGTAAATGTAAAATAAACGTGGAGTGGCATTTGAAGT